CACATTGCTGCCATAGTTATGTCTACAATTGCAAACAAAATTACACCAGGGTATCTCTTTACGACTGATTTTTGGGAAAAGGAAGCTCAACTGCAGTTGATTTGGCTTTTGGAACAAGTTATAAAAAAGGCAAGAAAATCCACTATCATTGAGAGCAGAAGAATAAAAGAAATTTTGTTTTTTTTAAAGTAACGGTGCAAGACCTTCAGCCGGGGGATTGTATGGGAAATTTGGGGGGGTATTTGGAAAAAAAAGTTAGCAGAACGCGGGCGCCCTCACCCCTTTTTGTCGGGGCAAAAGTTTTAAGTGCCTATGTTCAAATTCATTTAAAGGGAAAAAAGGTAATAAAATTAAATTTTTTTTTTCATTTTTGCTCCTCTCCCAGATCTATCCGATTACTAGACCCCCAAACCCCTCACCGATGCACCACCAGTTTCATATGGCTGCATCGAAAAACATCAGCATGACAGATCTATTAGCAGTTGATGACAGTGTTAAAGAGAAAAATTTGCCTTCTTGGCTTCGCAATTGAATCGGGAACCCCCTTGGTTCCCCTTCATTTGGGGAAAAAAGAAGAGGGCCCCCCAGGTCGGGGTGGAATTTTCTGTCCTATCTGAAAGGGATGGTAAAGAAAAAATCAAAATAGTCGGGTTTGTCTAATGGGGGGGATTGGAGATTACAATTTGAGTTACCCCCCTGCTCCAATCTAATATTCGTTGGAGTGCTGGGAAATTTGAGGGAGACTCAAAAACGAGACTTGTAAAAATTTCTTTTTGGCAAAGCTCTAGGTTCTTCCCATGAATTGGACTTTCTAAAAATCCTTGTTTTGGGGGTTAAACCCAATACAAATGCTTTGGTTTAGACTTTGGTCTGTTCTTAAGATTTTTCACCTATTAGGTTTAAGATAAAAAATAAATCCAATAAGGATAACCCATGATGTTTTAGGGAAAATTCAGATGAAATGATACAACCATCAACAGCCAAATTTGTTCCAGATCCCCTCCATTCATTTGGGTAGAGGGTGACCCGGACTCGCCTTTTGACATATGGGTAGGCCCCCAGCAGTTGCCCTGGGTTGCCAAAAATGCTGATTATGGCCAATGAAGCCTTATAATGGTTTTCAAAGGAAAAACCCATTGTGTGGCAAACGCTTTTAATATATTTTGTGTATCTTAATGCATGTCATTACCTTTTTTGTTGTTTTTTTTATAAGCCATGTTTAGTCTCCCCACCTGTTGGGACCAAAGATTTCGTTGGGGGGGGGGATGTTACCAAGTGCTGGGTGTGTTTTAACCTTCAACCCGGGATGCTCTCCAAGTTTCCCTAATGGGCCACTTTCCCTTAGTGCTCAACAAGCAGAAAATCCCCTCACTTCCCGACTGCAGAGGAAAAAAGGCCCCGGCCTGGAGTTACCATAGACTTAATGTTGGGACCCCGTCGCCGTGCAGCCCCGGCGACGGTGACAGGTCCCTTCGGGACGCGGCGGGGGGGGGCATGGTGGGAGCTTGCAGGCGCGCATGCGCAGAAATGGGAAGTGGCATAGAGGTCCGCTCACCGTAGGTAGGCAGGCTATTTAAAACCCGCAATTAGTACAATCAAAGCCTTCTGGTTACAATGTCCCTGCACTATTACCCATCCCGTTTCTTGTTTTGATCTGAAAATGACTAAGGAAAAAAAAAACCCCCCCGCACCGACCTCGGCTAGCCCTGACCCTTGGCCTGCCCTTTTATTGATCTGGCCCGTTAAAAACTGACCTGGCTTGTCTGACTCTGTCTGACTCTGCTTATCAACGTACCTGCACGCATTGGGTTTCATCCTGACTGTGCCTACTCCTCCCCCACTGACACAACGATGGGGAATATCTTCCCCCACTGACACCAACGATGGGGCCACTTATACTCCCCCCCCCCCCCCCCACTGACACCAACGATGGTGGCACTATTCCTCCCCCACCCCTGACACCAACGATCCCCCCCTATTCCTCCTACCCCACTGACCACCCACCAACGAACGTGGGGCACTTTTCCTCCCCCCCATGACACCAAAACGGATGGGTGGCACTATTCCTACCCCCACTGACACCAACGATGGGGCACTATTCCTCCCCCCACTGACACCAACGATGATGGGGCACTATTCCTCCCCCCCACTGACCAGTGATGGGGGCACTATTCCTCCCCCCCACACTGACCACCAGTGATGGGGCAACTACTCCCCATGACACAATGATTCCTGGGGGCACTGACCCCCCACTGACACGTGAAACGTGGGGGGCACTATTCCTCCCCCCTTGACACCAATACTTGGCGGCGGCACATATCCTCCCCCCACTGACACCAACGATGGAGGGCAGCTATTCCTCCCCTCCCTGACACCAACGATGGGGCAAATATTCCTCCCCCCACTTGACACCAACGATGGGGCAACTATTCCTCCCCCCCTGACCACCAACGGATGGCGGGCACTATTCCCTCCCCCCACTGACACCAACGATGGGGGCACTATTCCCTCCCCCACTGACACCAACGATGGGGCACAATTCCACCGCTATTCCCCCCCAGCACTGACTCACCAACGATGGGGCACTATTTCCTCCCCCCCACTGACCCAACGATGGGGCACTATTCTCTCCCCCACTGACACCAACGATGGGGCCACCCTACTTCCCCCCCCCCTGACCCAATTGATGGGGCACTATTCCCCCTTCCCCCCTCACCCCCACTGACACCAATGATGGGGCACTTATTCTACTCCCCCACTTGGACACCTAACGTATGGGGCAACACTATTCCTCCCACTGACACCAATGATGTGGCACCCTCCCCCACTGACACCAGTGATGGGACTACTCCCCCCACTGGACACCAGTGATGGGGCATACTCCTCCCACCTGGACCCCCAGTGATGGGGCACTTCCTCACTCCCCCCACCCCCCCCAGGACACCAGTGATGGGCACTACTCCCCCCCATGACACCAATGATGGGGCACTATCTCCCCACACTGACCAGTGATGGGGCACTACTCCCCTCTGGACACAGTGATGGGTCACTAACTCCTGATCACCCTGAATGTTGGGCTACTATTCCTTCCCGCAGCTGACACCCAAGATTGGGGCACTGTACCTCCCCCCACTGACACCAACGATGGGGCAACTATTTCCCCCACCCCCGACTGACACCAACGAGATGGGGCAGTATTCTCCCCTCCACCACATGACCAATGTATGGGGGCACTATACTCCCCCATGACACCAAGGATGGGGCACTATCCCCCCACTGGACACCAACCGTGGGGGCACTATTTCCTCCCACTGACACCAACGATGGGGCACTATTTCTCCCCCATGACCCAATGATGGGGAACTATTCTCCCCCCCCATCGGTGACATCCATGATGGGGCAAGTACTCCCCACCACTGACACCAACGATGGGGCACTACTTCTCCCACTGACACAACGATGGGCACTGTGGGTTGGGCTCCCCCCACTGACACCAACGATGGGGCACTATTCCTCCCCACTGACACCATCGATGGGGGCACTACTCCTCCCACTGACACCAACGATGGGGCACTACTCCTCCCCCCCCTACTGACACCAACGATGGGGTCTACATCCTCCCATGACACCAAAGATGGGGCACTATTCTCCATGACATCAGTGACGAGGGCACTGGCACTATTCCTCCACCTGATACCAACAATGGGGACTACTATTCATCAACTGACATCAGTGATGGGGACTACTCCTTCCACTGACCACCAATGACATGGCATCTCCTCCACTGCAAAATTTCAGTTATGAAGTCAGCAATTGAAAATAAATTTTATGGTTGGGTGTCACAACACATGAGGAACTGTATTAAGGGTCGCTGGCATTAGAAAGGTTCGAGAACCACTGCTGCTAGGCCTGACGCCACAAAGCAGATGGGGTAAACTATATAGCAAGACTGAGTATAAGAGTTCTCCTTAATAAAACAATTGAGCAACATTAAGAAGGTGTATTATTCTGCCCTGGCTCTATGATCCACAGTATTCCTTTGAGGGAAAAAAGGTCTTTAATCTTCGACTAGCTTTGATGGGGCCCAGAGGTAAGCATTACAGTGATAAACCAATGATGGGCTGCGTGTAAAAGGTGTTATGTTTTCTCCAATAAAGACCCGCCAAGAGTTAGGTTTAATGGTGTCTGCATGCAGTGTCCTTATGTGAAATGTTAAAATAGGATGGGGCTTTTTGCCCCACTCACCACTCCAGTAGATACACGGTCTTGGTGAATAGGATGTCCCCCCGCAGACTCTTGAATGTCCAACAGTTAAAGTGTGAGGGCACAGGACTGGCACCCTGAGGCTGAGGAATTAGTGAACTGCGTGAATGTTCGCTAAACAGCAGTACAGTGTTATGGTGGACAGCTACGAGCACCAGGCGCTCAGCAATGCAGTGCTTGAAAGGAAGGCCCCAACCTTCTGATTAGACAGCAGCACCCAAACCATGGTGCTTGGCATGGTGACCTCCCAGCTCTAGTCTCGCCCTGAATCTGGGTCCCAAGAGTGCGTGCCCACACGAAAGTCTAATTTATTTCCCTTCTCTGGATCACTTCAACACTTTTCATCCTCTCGAATCTGTAGTTTCAAACAATTTAAGTGGTCACGTACCTGGTTGGGGAGCCTGAGTGGAGAGAAGGTGTCCTCTTACGCTCCCCACTTGGAGCCCCTGATAGTGGGAACTGAGGGTCAGAGCCAGGAGTGGCAGAGTGCCGTGCGGATCTGGAGCTGGGGGCAGGTAGCGGAAGAACCCGGAGTGTAGGTCCGGAATGCAGGCCAGGTGCGGGTGCGGAAAGTAGTGCAGCAACAGGCAGTTATGGCGGCAATTCAGGATGCAGACTGGAAACTGGACACCGGTGCCGTGGGTGCGGTTAGCAGGCTGGTATGGCAGTGACCAGGATGCAGGCCGGTGCAGATCCGTGGGTGCAGCGGCAGGCAGTATGGCACATGTTCAGGATACAAGCCAGATGCTGGACCGTGGGTGCAGCGGCAGGTAAGTGTGGCATTACATCAGGATACAAGGCCAGATGCAGGGACCGTGGGTGCAGTGGCAGGTAAGTATGGCACACGTCAGGATGCAAGCCAGATGCAGCTCCTTGGGTGCAGCGGCAGGTAAATTGACATGTGAGGATGCAAGCCAGTTTCAGGTGCAGGGTACGTAGATACAAGCAGAGTCAGACAAGCAGGTCAGTATTTAATCTAGCAGATCAGAGTACAAGGAAGCAGGCAAGCGGATGGTTCAGGTATAGCCGAGTATGGTCGGTTGCAGGCGGAGTTTTCTGAGTAAGGTCAGATCAGAATGAAAGGAACAGGATCAGGTAATAGTGCAGGGCGTTGTAGATCAGAAGGCATTGATTGTACTGTATTTGCAGGTTTAAATAGCCCGCCTAGCGGTGACGTGAACTCTACAGCGGCATGCGCACACTTCGCTGCGCATGCGCGCCCACTCGCTCCCGGCATGCGCACTAGCACTGCCACACCCCGATGGACTGTCCGCCCGTTCTCGCACTGCTGCACGGCGACAGGGGTCCCAGATAGTTGCCCACTCATAAGGGCAGCCTCCGGATGCCTCCAACTGGGGCCATGTTTCTCTGGATGCCCGGTAGCTTGAATGCCAGATTAAATCTTTAGGTGGTATGTTAGACTCCGGTTTCACATGAATTGTCTTCAGGTCACCATAAACCTTTCCATTTATTAGATATTGGAGTTGGTTCCTCCTTTTCCTGCAGTCAACAATAGTTTCAACCTCAGTATTCTATCGCCTGTGGAGATCACTGGTTCAGGTGGCCCAATTCCCGACCTGGGAAGGGGTTAGAGACTGCAGTCTCCAGCAATGAGACATGGTATACAGGATGGTCTTTTAGTGAATCAGGGGCAGTATGAGGCGTGTAGCTATGTCATTAATTCTCCTCTTTACAGGAAAAGGACCCACAATTTGGGGGGCCGTAAGTTCTTTGAGGGACAAGTTAATCTTAAGATTGGCTGTGACAAACATACTCTTCGCAGGTTCCAGGACCAGGTTTCCCTTTTCCTTTTCCTGTCAAAGAAACTTCTTATTATCCAGTTGAGCTTTGAGATTGTTTCCTGAAATGCATCTTGTTATTCTGCTGAAGAAATTCAAATGGGTATCTTGGACTGCTTTCTGGGATCGCTGTGTTTTCAGGCACTATTTTGGAATTTGAATGCAGGGTGAAATCCGTAGTTAGAGAAGATAGGCGACTGTCTTGTGGCCCTAGTGTTTTGAGTTATTATAGGCGAAGAATTCAGCCAAAGGGTTTAAAAAGTGATACCCAGTCTTGAGAAAAGGATGTGAAGCATAGAAATGTACGGTCCAAGGTCTGGATGGTTCTTTCTGTTTGGATGCTTAGTCTGTGGATGATAGGCGGAAATGAGAGTAGGAGTCACTTTCAATTTTCAACATAAGTGCTTCAATATTTGAGGTGAATTGCACCCCTCAATCGAGAACGATGTTTCCTGGAACACCATATGAGTCCTCACCCCTCTCTTACATAGATTGGGCTGTTTCTGCTGCAGATGGTACTCCTTTTCATGGCAATAAAGTGGGCATCTTGGAAAATCAATCCACTATAGCAAAGATAGCTGACCATCCTTTGTTTGGTTGGCAGCTCTACAATGGAAATCCATCCGATTTCAATCCTCCAAGGATGATTCTGGGGACTGGTAGAGCCTTATATAAGCCCCAGTTCTTGTTTCTATTGCTCTGGTTTTGTACTACATGTGGGACAGGAATTTACGTAGGGTGGTAGGTAATGGATCGGATGATGGTGGTGGGAATCACCTGTCTTGTGGGCTGCAGTATCCAAGGCTGGACAGCGGGTGCTCTCATGTGCCAATTCTCACGCCTGCATTTTCAGGAGCTGATTGCAGGAGGTGGTGTTGAAGCAGGTCCTAGGCTCGTGATCAGTGCCTTGGGTGTGATGGTGCCCAGGTTGCCCCTTGTACTCGGCATCCTTGTCTGCTTCCTACCCTGATCCTGCTTTGATTCGGGGGGCTCTGACTGACTCTGAACGAACCCTCCGCCGGTCCTGACCTCGGCTAATTCTGACCACTCGTCCACTCGCTCTGGTACCTGTTTGCGTAGCTACCGACCCGGCCCGCCTCGCCTCTGACTTACTTTGTTTTTTTGTTCTGTGCTCATACATATATACATACAGGATTATATATAGTAATCTGTTTAGGTTTGGGGTTGTTTCACCTGTTGTATGTATTTTGTGTTAGTTTTGGGTTTTGGTTTTGTTGCCACTGCGTTTATGTTTGTGTTGTCCTTAATAAAAATTATTCTAGTTTACACGTATACCTGAAGTCTGTGTTTCCTGTATTGGTCCCACAACCTCTGGTCATTCCGGAGACTGGACAGTTTGGCCTGCAATCTTTCTCTCCCACTCTGCCACCAGAACCAGACGCTGTAGAGATCTAGGTCGTGCGGATCCAAACTGTCCTGCCAGTGGGATGGTCATGACACACCCCTATAAATCTGCCTGTC